CAAAAAATGTAAGTTGGGAACACAGTTAAAAGCAACTGGAGAGCCCCGAGGAACTACAAAGAACAGGTTGGAAATCCAGGACTGGAGAGGTACAGGAAATGGGAATCGTAAATGAAAGCAGGAAGGAGGAGCATGCATGGTGGTCAAAGTCTGTAATCCCAAAATTTAGGAAGTGGAGGGAAGAAGATTAGGAGCTCGAGGTCATCCTCAACTTCAGCACGAGGCTGCAGCCAGCCTGTGTCTTTAAAACATTAAAAATAAAAGACGTAAGGCAGGAGAGAGGGCACCCAGAGAAGTCGAAGGGCTTGCTTCGGGGTGAGACATAATTCACAAGCGCCTTCAGAGAGTGGGCCACCCCTGAGGGGAGGCGTAAGGCAGGGGTGCAGCTCAGACAGTTGAGGTGAACCCAGGCGGCTGAATGAAGAGGTTGGTGGGGACTGGGTGGGGGAGGGGTGCCTCACCCTCTTCTCTCCTAACGGACCCCACCCTGGACTCCACGTGGCTGTGGAGAGCGGTGGCTTCTTTTCTGTCCACACCCAAGCCTCCGATTCTCTTCGCGCACTTCCGGGCCTCGAGTGCGTGTTAAGCCAGTAAGCATGCCTCACGCATGCGCTCCCCTTGCCCGGTCCCTGGCCGAGAGAGAAGCACGAGGCACCAAGATTGACAGCTATAGCCCCGCCCAGTCCTGCCTAGACTCCTCCCCTTTCCTCACTGGATTGGCTTCGCGGGTTTCTAGACCCGCCCGCGTTACTCAGTGCTGATTGGCTAAGGCTACTGGCTGACCTGGTCCTAGTGGAAGGTGCTAGGTTCCACGCACGCGAAGATGGCCGGCCCTTGGAGACACGCCTGAACCGGCACTTTCGAGCCCTATGACTGTGTACTGCCCAGAGTCTATTCCTAGTCTGCGAAATCGGTTGGAAGTTGTACCTCCCCGATATAGTTGGTAGAAAGATGGAATGAACCAACACACGTATGAATGAATGCTTGTGAGTTTTCTTTCTTTGGCTTGCTTCAAAATTTTCTCTACCTCTAACTTTATTCTCTGCACGCGTCCCCTCATGCCTTTAGCTCGCTCGGGATAGTGTGGAACTATTATTCTCTTGCCTTCACTTCTCAAACGCTGGGATTACAGGTGTATGGCCTTCAAACTTTTCAAGTCAAACTAAACTACCCCAGCGTATATCCCTGTCTAAATGTCAGTAATGTTATGACCCGTGTCTTTTCTTTGTGCTTCCCCCAGTCTTTAGAAGCTCTCAAACTTTGCCCATACACTGCTTCGGGAAACCAGCTCTGGGTTACAAAACAATGAGGAGATGCCGTGAAATTTTCGGCAGTAGTAAAAGGTTTCTGAAAGTACAACAGAATCGATCGAATAAATCTAAGGTGCTCATCAATTTTGCATCTCAAAACTTGTGGTGGCAAGGGCCTTTAATCCCAGCACTCCAGAAGAGGACTTCTGTGAGTTCTAGGACAGCCTAGTCTACAGAGCAGACCTACATGCAGAACAGGCAAGACTAACACCATAGACCTTGTCTCAAAAGACAAAAGCAACACAAATGAAATAACTTGCTGGCACTTTGGTTGGGAACAGATAGTGTGTCATTTGACCTGCACATGCCATCATGCTGTGCAGTGCCAGTGAGCACTGCTGCAGCGTCTGTTCAGAGACAGTAAACCATGAATTCTGAGACTTTGGCTGTACATAAAAAGTTTCTCCTGCCAGACAGTGGTGGCACATTTCTTTAATCTCAGCATTCAGGAGGCAGAGGCAGGTGGCTCTCTGTGAGTTCAAGGCCTAGCCTGATCTACAGAGTAAACTCCAGGACAGCCAGGGCTACACAGAGCAAAAACAAACAAAAAACAAATGACAACAAAACAAGTACACTCAGCTTATTGCACGCAAATTTGCTTTTTGTTGTTGTTGTTGTTGTTTTTGGTTTTTTGAGACAGGGTTTCTCTGTGTAGCCCTGGCTGTCCTGGAACTCACTCTGTAGACCAGGCTGGCCTGGAACTCAGAAATTCACCTGCTTCTGCCTCTCAAGTGCTGGGATTAAAGGTGTGCGCCACCACTGCCCGGCTTGCTTTTGTTTTTAATAAATGACAAAATTAGATCTGTATAAAATAATTGTTTTTAAGTCCTTTTCCTTATATTATCAGGAAATATTAGATTTATGTATCCGTATTATACGTCTATAAGCAAAGGGTCATGTAAAAATTCCTCAGACTAGGGTCTGGAGAAACAGTTCACTGGTTAAGAGACTGAGTTCAGTTCCTTGCATCCACACAGGGCAGCTCACAATTGCCTATGACTCCAGCTTTAGGAGATCTGACACCCTCTTCTGGCTTCTGCAGTCACCTGCATTCAACTGCACATAACCACCACACACAGATATAAACACACACACACACACTTACACACTCAAACACACACTCACACACACATACTCTGACACACACACACACTCATACACATACACACAGAGCTTTCTTGGGCTGGGAATGGTTGTACACACCTTTATTGCCATCACTAGTGTAGATTCGGCTAGCCTGGTCTACATACTGAATTCTGGGTCAGCCTAAGACACATAGTAAGACCTGCTATTGAGAAAAAAAAATCAAAACAAAACAAAAAAACTTTCTCAGGCAAAAGTGGGGCTCAAGTAGAAAAAGTTTAAGAACCCCTGTTCACCATGGTTGAAACAGGAGGATGGCGAGTTTAAAGTCATCCTCAGGGCTGGAGAGATGCCTCAGCAGTTAAGAACACTGACTGTTCTTCCAGAGGTACTGAGTTCAATTCCCAGCAACCACATGGTGGCTCACGGTGGCATCTGTAATAGGATCCAATGCCCTCTTGTAGTGTCTCAAGAGAGCAACAGTACGCTCATAAATAAATAAATAAATAAATAAATCTTAAAAAAAAAAAAAGAAAGCCGGGCGGTGGTGGCGCACGCCTTTAATCCCAGCACTCGGGAGGCAGAGGCAGGCGGATTTCTGAGTTCGAGGCCAGCCTGGTCTACAGAGTGAGTTCCAGGACACCCTGGGCTATACAGAGAAACCCTGTCTCGAAAAACCAAAAAAAAAAAAAAAGAAGGCCGGGCAGTGGTGGCGCACGCCTGTAATCCCAGCACTTGGGAGGCAGAGGCAGGCGGATTTCTGAGTCCGAGGCCAGCCTGGTCTACAGAGTGAGTTCCAGGATGGCCAGGGCTACACAGAGAAACCCTGTCTCAAAAAAAAAAAAAAGAAGCCATCCTCAGCTACATGAGATCATACCTCCAAACAAACACACCCGAAAGAAGTCCTGGTCTAACACAAGCCTCAAAGTCCTGGGCCTTTCTCAATCATGTCTGAATCTGTCTCTTCAACACATGGAGATAGCCAGGAACTGACCCATTGATGTAATTAATATTCATTCTGCAAGCAATCGACTTGTTCAGTAATAAACTTCATGCCGGGTCCAGATCTTTCCAGGGAAGTAGATTGAGACGGAATCTGAGCCGGGCAGTGGTGGCGCACGCCTTTAATCCCAGCACTTGGGAGGCAGAGGCAGGCGGATTTCTGAGTTCGAGGCCGGCCTGGTCTACAGAGTGAGTTCCAGGACAGCAAGGGCTACACAGAGAAACCTTGTCTCAAAAGAGAGAGAGAGAGAGAGAGAGAGAGAGAGAGAGAGAGAGAGAGAGAGAGAGAGAGAATGTGAACACAATAAATAAAACTCTTCACCACTTTAGTATCAGCCTAGCGGGAAGGAATGGGTAGATTCGAGAGTTCCACCTGTAGGTGAGGCTACCAGAAAACAACTAGGCCATTTAGGGGTGAGAGAGAACCTGAGCGTCTGAGAAAACACTGGGATGTGGGATTACTTCGAGCCAGGGAAAAGAAAGAACATGACAGAAAGTGGTCTTGGCTACAGATACAGGTTTTGGAGTCCAGAGCCATCCACCTGAAGTAGGTGTTGGAGCTTTGTATCTAGAGAGAGGAGCAGAGGCCAAGGAGGTGCAAGGCGATCTGCAGGAGGGATGCCAAGTTGGACCTGGGCCGGACCCTGCAACCATCTCCAATTTCTGATCTTTCTGCACCTCTTCCACATACATCTAATGGTGCCTCGGAGGCATGAAGATTTTATACCATTAAAAACCTAACGTTGAAGCTGGGTCCAGTGGGGCACACCTTTAATACCAACACTCTGGAGGCAGAGGTAGGAGTGTGAGTTTGAGGCCAGCTTGGTCAACAAAGCAAGTCCAGGACAGCCAGGGCTCTGTCATACAGAAAAACCCTACCTTAAAAAAGAGAAACACACTGGGCGGTGGTGGCACACGCCTTTAATCTCAGCACTTGGGAGGCAGAGGCAGGTGGATTTCTGAGTTCGAGGCCAGCCTGGTCTACCGAGTGAGTTCCAGGACAGCCAGGGCTACACAGAGAAACCCTGTCTCGAAAAACAAAACAAAACAAAAAAAAGAGAAACACAGACACACGCGCGCATATATACATATACATAACAAACAATAAATAAAAATAACAAAACCCTAGTGTTGGGCCTGGCGCGGTGGTGCACAGCTTTAATTTTAGCACTTAGGAGTCAGAGGTAGGCAGATCTCTGAATTCTAGAACAGCCTGCTGTACACATCAGCTAAAGTTACACAGTGAACTCTCATCTCAAAACAAAACAAAAAGCTTTGAAAAGGGAAGTCCCCTCAGAGCCATTCTCTGGTGCTGCCTCTAATCTCCAGCTTCACTTCTTTATTGTTTTTGTTTTCAAGACAGGGTTTCTCTGTGTAGCCCTGGCTGGCCTCGAACTAGGAGATCCACCTGCCTCTGGCTCCCCCCAGCGCTGGGATTAAAGGTGTGCGCCACCACAGCCCAGTATGGCCAGTTTTTGTTTTTTGTTTTTTCAAACCCCTACACCAGTAAGAAATGGGAGCGTCCCTTCCCAGGTGCCTACGAGTCACCCCCTCCGCGGATCCAGGAATGAGCCCGTCCACTCCCTCTCCCACGTGAATGGGTTACACACACACACCCCCGGAGGTGGTCTCTTCCGGAGTTTGCTGGCCCTGCAGCAAATGATTTCCTCCACGGACGGAGGACGCCAGATTGTCCCTCATCCCTGTCGGCTTTTCAGGTACCCTGCCCCTTCCCGTCCACTCTGGGTTGTCTCCCTCTTGTTTACCCCACCCCGCCTCCTGCCACGCGCGTCGCGTGGGCTCGCCTGTCCCTCCTTCCCCCCTTCGTTGTGTCGCTATGGCCGCAAGGGGTCCCGGCGGGAAGCGGCAGACGGTCCCACTGTGCGGCCTCCGTCGGGGGAGGGGAGCGAGGATCTCTTCTATGTGACGGTTTCTAGTCTGCGAAAGAAGGCGGCGTCCGGGCTCGGCCTTCGCCCTGCGCGCGAGTGAGCGCGGCGGGACGGCCCATTGTGTTGGCTCGAGAGGTAGGGGTGGGCGTGGCGGATCCACGTCCTCGCGGAGCTTTCCCGGGCCGACTCTACTCTCATCTCCAGGAGCTTGCGGTGCTGAGAATGAGCGGGGAAGGCGAGAACCCGGCCAGCAAGCCCACGCCAGTGCAGGACGTGCAGGGCGACGGGCGCTGGATGTCTCTGGTGAGTGACCCCGCGCGGTCCCCAGGGTTAGAGACTGAGGGAGCCGGAGGCTTCTAGAGAACCCCTGCTTCGTGACGTCTTCCTCTTCACCAAGTGGGTAGCCAGGTTTGGGTTGTTCAGCCTGAGGATGCAGGGTGGGGCGGGGCCTGGAGCATGCGTGCCCGTGACTCTGGCTTTCTCTGCAGCACCATCGATTTGTGGCGGACAGCAAAGACAAGGAACCCGAAGTCGTCTTTATCGGGGACTCCTTGGTTCAGCTAATGCACCAGTGTGAGGTGAGGGTCCACCCGTTTCCCCCTTCCTCATCCAGGCATGTAACCTCACTGGCATTTCAGGCCCAGAACCTAAGCCAGACACAATAACGGGGTACAGAAATGCCCGTGGTAGCAAGAATCTAAGAACCCCGTGTACATGCAACGTTCTGCTGAAAATAAAGTGTGTGCCCTGAGTTTGTCAGGTTGTGTTTGTCTGTATCAACTTAAATTGAGGCTTTACTTCAAGATCGCCTAAGGCGAGGCTTGTTTTATTGTTTAAAGTAGAGCACAGCCCCTGCTGGGTGTACACTCAGTTGTAATAGCTCTACAGAAAGTGAAGGTTGATTGTAATGGTATTCTGCAAAGACTATCAGTAATAAAGTCTCTCCCTAAGAAGGTCAGCTACAACGGCGGTTTTTTTTTCACAGTGAGGTTGAGTTGTATTGCTGTTAGCTCTGTGCATATATAGTTCACGCAGACAGGGTCTTCATAAAACTTCTGTAATGTAAATGTAACTTCTGTGGGATTTTTTGGTTAAAGTAATTCCAGGGTTCTGGATTTGTTCAAGGTAAGATTTAACCTTGTCCATAAAGTAAGTCTAACCCATAATGGTATGTAGTTACCGCCTGGACAGAGGTGGTAGCTAGTATCTACCTCATTTCTTGACCCCAGATCTGGCGGGAACTCTTCTCACCTCTGCACGCACTTAACTTTGGCATTGGTGGTGACAGCACACAGCATGTACTCTGGCGGCTTGAGAATGGGGAGCTGGAACATATCCGGCCCAAGGTAAGTAAGGCCTGGGGGGGGTAACTCTCATTTTGCCTGCCTCTTTACTGTTGCTTTGTATCACTCTTCCCACAGATCGTGGTGGTCTGGGTGGGCACCAACAACCATAGCCACACAGCAGAACAAGTGACAGGTGGCATCAAAGCCATCGTACAACTGGTGAACAAGCTGCAGCCCCAGGCACGGGTGGTTGTGCTGGTGAGAGCTTTGGAAGGGTGGCAAAGGGACAGTGGTCATGGTGGCACATGCCTATAACCCTGGCACTCTAAGGGCTGAGGCAGGAGGATGATTGAGATAAGTAAGAGTCGTTCCTGTCTTTAAAAAGGGGGGGAAAAAAAAGGCCAGGCAGTGGTGGTGCACACCTTTAATCCCAGCACTTGGGAGGCAGAGGCAAGCAGATTTCTGAGTTCGAGGCCAGCCTGGTCTACAGAGTAAGTTTTAGGACAGCCAGGACTACACAGAGAAACCCTGTCTTGGGGGAAAAAAAAATTGGGGTTGTGGTGTAGAACCCTCAAGAAGTAACCCACTATACTTGACACAGTTCTGGACACATTGGCACAATGGTCTCTCACAGAGTGTCTGGTAGATTTCCACACTTGGAAGTGTGGCTATGGGCTGGTTGTGGTGGCACACGCTTTAAATCCCAGTGCTCCAGAGTCAGAGGAAGGCAGATCTCTGTGAGTTCAAATCCACCCAGGTGTGTACAGTAAAGACAGCCACGGCTCCATAGAGACCCTGTTTATAAACAGTGGCTGGGACAGTTAGCCTGTTCTCCAGGGGAATGCTGGGTAATTTGAGTATTGAAAAAAAAATCGCAAAAAGTTGTCAGGTGCTCCTGGATTAAATTAAGATTTTATTATCACTTCTAGCTAAAATATTTCTACCTCTGAGACCGACCACTGGCATTATGTCTTTAATGAGTAATCTCTGCAAACAGGCTGCTACCTGGAAGATTCTTAATATACGTCCTCCCTAGTTTCACATCCCTTAACTATTTTACAACTGAGAATTTCCTGGTGGGGTGGTGGTTGAGATGGACAGTTCGTTCCAGAGATGCTGATCTGACCACTGACTGTTGGTCTGCCTCCTCAGGGCCTGCTTCCAAGAGGCCAGCATCCCAACCCACTTCGGGAGAAAAACCGCCAGGTAAACGAGCTGGTTCGGGCAGCCTTAGCTGGCTACCCCCGAGCCCACTTCCTAGATGCAGACCCTGGCTTTGTGCACTCCGACGGCACCATTAGTCACCATGACATGTATGACTACCTCCACCTGAGCCGCTTGGGGTACACACCTGTCTGCCGGGCCCTGCACTCCTTACTTCTTCGTCTCCTGGCCCAAGATCAGGGCCAAGGTATCCCTCTGCCGGAGACAACACCCTAAGCCTCTTCCTTTGACATTAAATGCTCCTCCTCCTACCTTTGTTTGCTGCTTTGTGGTTAGGCTTGTCTGAGAACTGCCACCACCCAGATCCTTGACCTGTTGTTACTCAGACCGTTTCTATTTGTATCTATGGAAGGCATTTTGTTTTTTTCTTTTAAATTTATTTATGTATTCACCATTGCTCTCTTCAGACACACCAGACACCAGCAGAGGGCATCGGACCCCATTACAGATGGTTGTGAGCCACCATCTGGTTGCTGGGATTTGAACTCAGGACCTCTGGGTGCTTTTAACCACTGAGCCATCTCTCCAGCCCCAACCTTCCGGTTTTTTTTTTTTTTTTTTTTTTTTTTTTTTTTGGTTATCATTTTGGTTCTTAAAGTCAGTTGAATTTCAGTAGTATGCTTTGGGCAAATTCTGGTTGAAACCAGTTTGCCATTATTACCCAGTTAGGATCAAGGTCAATCAGTAATCTCTGGAATGGTATCCAAATGGTATCAAATATCTGACCCCACTAGCTGTCCCTTCAGGAAGTTGTCCCAGCTGATACATGCTAACTTCCTGGTGCTCTGGCTTGTTTAGATGTATCCTGAGACTTTTTACACTCTCCAGACTTTGCACAAGGAAGAGGTCAAAGTCTTAGGTTAAAGTCTCAGTCCTCTCCTGGCTGCTGTGCTGGTTCAGACCACATGGAGGTTAGTAGCAGTCAGTCACTGAGGATAGCCCATGGTCCTGAACTGGCCTACGTGGTGCCTCTTGGGATATTTTGAGTAAAAACGGATTCTAGGGCCAATAGCCATGACCTGCCCTTCTCACAGTGCAAGGTCTCAGTCTCGTTTCAGTCAAGCCGCTACTTACTGGATAGGCAGACAGTCCCCAGACTGTTCTAGCTACCTCCTTCAGAGGCAGACCTCAGCCCAAAGTCCCTTGATGCTAACAGGATAATGACAGGGTAGTGGCAGTGCGGAGCTACCCCACGCCCCCCTGGGGATAGGCGTGTGAAAGCAGCACTTGAGAAACAAGTCGGCAGGCACGAGTGTGTTAAACAGCTTTAATCTCGGTCATTGTGGCTCTCGGCACAGTAAGAAATATTGCACATGATCAACATGTTTTCTTCTGGGAGTGGGGACAATGGGGGGAATCACCTTCTTAGAAAGTACAACCCAAGTTGGGAGGGCAGAGGGTGGGGAGAATCCTCCCCATGCCTATGGCAAAGTGCAGGAGCCCCACCCCCACCCCAAACTAACCTGAGTCCAGCCCCTCTGGGGAAAAAGGGGGGGGGTACATGAACTCCCCGCTACTCCACAGGCATCTTCTCCCTGTGGCCCAAGGCTCATACCACCCTCCAGCTTGTAGCCCTCACAGGAGCCTTTCTGCATAAAGTTCAAGTGGAAAGCTCTGAAGGTCACACACTTCAGGTTATATACAAGAGCTCAGTGGAGGGTATCTGCCCCTGCTGCCCCCCAGCACAGGGAGGAAATATATACAAGGGGAACAGGACACATTCCACACCAAACTGGAAAGGACAAAATGGCTTCCTGGGGAGGAGGTAACTATCCCACTGTCTGGCCCCCAATTCCCGCCATCTATATACTGTCCATATCCTGAGGGGGTTACTGTGGGTCCTGGGGTCTTCTCAAAGGCCCTCACCTGCCTGTGGCAGCCGTGGAAGGACCAGAGGGAGGAGGCGAGGGTTGGGGAGCCCCCTCCCAGCCAGGCTGTCCAGGCCCAGGTTCTGGGGGTGGAGGCAGTGGCGGGGCAACTTGGGCAGTGCCAGAGTCCGAGCCTGGAGAGGTGGGGTCAGGGCCCCCAGCAGGGCTGGGAGTGGGGACAGGAGTAGCAGCCATGCCAGTAGGGGGTGGTCCAGGGAGGGGGGCTTCAGCCCCAGGGGGCTGCTCTGTGGGAGTGGCTGCCTGCATGATCTTCTGGCGGACCTCTCGGATCTTTAATTGCAGACACACCTTGGATGGAAAGATGTCTGCATAGCGGGCCTGGAAGGCTGCTGTGGCTTGGGCTGGGGACAGAAAGATAGTGAGCTATGTGGGCAAGTCCCCATGTGAGTGATTCCCAAGAGTGTCTGACTTACTGACCTGATGGGAAGAAGCCATGGTCCTGGAAGAGCTGCATGACCAGGGCCCGCCGTTGGTCCAGGGTGCGCCGCAGTGATGAGTAGGGCACCTTCTCATACTCCAGCTCCCCAAGCACGTCCTCTGTCTCAGTACCTGCCCGGGCACAGGGCCTTCAGTCACGGCTGCGGCAGAGACCCCGCACATACTTCCTGCTGCCAGTCAAGTACCCACCAAGTCTTGCCAACCATGTCTCAGTGGGGGTTAGCCTTGACCAAGCCTCCCCCCACTACACACATGACATCACCACAGTCTCCTAAACACTGGCACCTGTGCGGTCAAAGGTGAAGATGTCCCCCTCGCACTTGGCACTCTTGGGGGTATTGGGCTCTGAGCTGCAGCTCGAGCGTCTCCTCATCTTGCGCTTGGGTGAGGTGGGGTCCTCGGGCGCAGAGTCCAGGTCTAGTCAAACAAGCAGACGGATTTAGCAGAGGTGGCCTCGGGCCTCCCCCTCTCCCCCCTCCCCTACCTCGTTAGGAGCCAGAGCTGCCTACCCGTGGAATTCTTCCTCTTCTTTCGATAGGAGCCAAGGATAGCCCGAGGCGAGGTGGCCAGAGACTGCAGGGTGGGCGAGGGAAGCACCTCCTCTGGTCTAAACTCGGGCAGCTCAGCAAACCGCTCTTCAAAGTCCACTTCTGACAGGACCCTGCTGGGGGGCCAGCAGGGTCACCTCTTTTGTCTCTGCCTGTAGCTGCCCCTTCTCCCACCAGCCCTAGGCACTTTGCCGAGATCCCAGCCGGGGCTCACTTGTCTACAGAGTCAAAGGTCTTCTTCAGGGGCGGGGGCCGCAACTTCATCTTCTTGCCGGAACTAGTCACTTCCTTGCGCTCAGGTGTGTCCCCAGTCGCCCTCCCACTACTGCCCTCGCTGCTGCCACTGCTGCTTCCACTGGGACCTGTGGCTGGAGCTGGAGCTGGGCTGGGAGGGGTGGGAGGCTCCCCACGACTCTCCAGGGCCAGCCCAGGAACTCGCCAATCTGAAGCTGAGCTGGGGAACTTGCTGGCCTGCGGTGGGGACAGGCAAGAACACTGAGCTTACATGTACTGGAGTTAAAAGAGACCCAGATCAAAGAGTGGGGCAGGGGAGATCACGAGCCAATAGTCAGGAACAAGATGAAGAGAGGTGGAAAGAGGAGACAACCCCTTGGCCTCTGAAGGCCAGGATACCCGGAATGCAGATCTCAAAGAGAATGGAATGGGTACGGCAGACAGCCAGGAGATACACTTAGACAAAGTGGCAAGAACAGAGACCAGCACTAGAGGAGTCCCACAGCCAGCTAGATACTTACAGTCTCAGGGCCTTTAGTGCCAGGTCGCTCCTCAGCAGGTAGAGGGGGTGGGGGGCTGCTCCGGGCAGTGGGAGGCCAGGTATCTGTAGGGGGTGGTGGGGGGGGGGGTGTGGGCTGACCCTCAAGCTCTGATTCTGGGGCAGCTGGCTCTCGGGCTCCACCAGAGTCTGAAGACTGTCGGGGTGTAGGTCCAGGCCGCCCAGCGGTACCCGATTCAAAAGACCCCACAGGAATACTGGCGATGGCTGCCTTTACTTTCTGGGGGGCTTTGGGGCTGGGTCGCTGAGCCTTGGGAGCCACTAAGCTGTAGGTCATGGAGCCTGCTGGGGAAGGAAAAGAGCGTCCGCTGAGCCAGGCCTCATGGAAGCCAGTTCCCTGCATTCCCCAACTTGCACAAACCCTGTCCCTGAGCTGCCCTGACACCTACCTGTGGCACTAGGGAAAGGACTAGTAGGGGCTGGAGTGGCAGTGACAGAGGCTGGTGGGCCCTTGGGCAGAATGGTAGCAGCAGGTGGGGTGGTGCTGGTGGCTACAGTGTAGACCAGGCTTGGTGGAGCTTGGGAAGGTGGGCCCAGGGGTGCTGAAGTGGGTGCAGGGCTGCCAGGGTAAAATGCTGTTATGACAGGACCTCCAGGGGCTGTACAGGCAGGAGGCAACTGGGGGCTAGGCACAGGTGACACGCCCACCTGGCCAGGAGCCAGCAATGGAGCTTGGCCTGCTGGGAGGAAGAGAGAAGGGGCAGGGAACCAAGTTAGGGTCTGGAGCCGCCTCCACCCCACCCCAAACCCCAAGGCCACCTCTCACCTGAGAGCAGAGGCTGTACAAAGGCAGGACCACTGGGCCCCAACGATGTGAAGCCCAGAGCTACAGAGCTGGTGGGCCCGTATGAGGTCACAGCTCCAGTCTGACTGCATGCAGAACTGGTGCCTAGAGGCAGAGTGTGCCCGCCTGCTGACTGTACATAAGTGATTCTGCCACAGGAGAGGAAAGGGGAGGAGTCAAGTGAGGTGGGCTGGCCCTACCCCACCTCCGGTCCGGCTTGGAGTGAGAAAAGGGGCTTAACTGGACTCACCTTGTGGAAGAGGGCAACAGGACCTTCTGAGGCTGTGATGTGGGTCCCGGCATTGTGGCTGGGCTCAGGGGTGGTACCAGGCCACTAGGTGTGCTCACAGGCACAGGAGTTAGCTGGATAATCTGTGGGTGAAAGTACCCACAGGCTAGGGTAAGCTATGAGCCCAGAGGGCAGGGAGGGGTGAGGCTCAGACTGTAGGCCAGGCAAGAGGAGAGATGGCTGAGCCTGAGACAAGCCGGTGTGGAGAGAGAGACTGTGAAGAGACTCTAGATGATGAACTGGGACAGAGAGACTCATCACCAAGGACAGACGGCTGTACAGAGCCATTAGCACAAAGAGGCAGTTGCTCTGAGCATTGCCGAGCCTACCTGCTCTGAGTTCTAATTAAAATGCTAAGTTTCCTTTCAACATCTCTCTCGCTCACTTAGAATATTAGCCCGACTCCTAAGCATGCTCCTAAGGAAGCTCTGACACTGGGCTTTCTCATGGCTTTCTCTGAACATGCCCAACATTTTTTTTCAGCATTTTTTAAAATGTCTGAGTGTTTTG